TAATATTCAAATTAAACACAAAAAAACATTTAATACATAAGAGAAGGCCATTCAGTCTTTCATACTCATCTACTTATTATTCAAGATCCTACAGCTGGTACTGAAGTCCCAGCACTCACACGACTGCTTGGTGCTTTGTTCCATTCATGCCCTGTTGATTGTGTGGTAAATGCACCTTTTAAAGTTGTGTGAAAGATCCCCCTTTCTGATAGCGTGGTATGGGGGTCTCCACATGAACTGTTACCATATCTTCCCTGGATAGCAGTGGCAATAACCTCTCTCGGTTGATTCCGGTTGGTCAGGTGCGCTCATTATGGCTCATGCTGGCTATGTTCACATATCACCCGGCAACTCACTGACAGCCCACTGAAGCTCAGCAGGTGTGAGCCTGGTCAGTACCTGGATGGGAGACCTCCTGGGAAAAACTAAGGTTGCTACTGGAAGAGTTGTTAATGGGGTCAGCAGGGGGCACTCACCCTGCGGTCTGTGTGGGTCCTAATGCCCCAGTATAGTGACGGGGACACTATACTGTAAAAAGGCACCATCCTTCATATGAGACATAAACCTGAGGTTCTGACTCCCTGTGATCATTAAAAATCCCCTGGCATTTCTCACAAAGAGAAGGTTAGGGGTGTTACCCCGATGTCCTGGCCAAATTTCTCTTTGGCCCTTACCAATCGTGGCCTCTTGATAATCCCCATCTATGAATTGGCTTCATTAGTCTGTTCTCCTCCCCACTGAGAGCTGATGTGTGGAGAGCGTACTGGCGCACTATAGCTGCCTTCTCTGATCTGTTATGCCTAACGAAAATCTTTATCTCCGAATTCTTTAAAATACTTACTGTCTTATTAAACCGTGAGGGTCTGTGAAAAGACAGCCTCTGACTGCCCCAGGAACTGCTTTTATAGAGTCTCCAGGTGCAGCCAATCCAGTGATTTGCCTGTAAGAATCCAAAGAGTGTGAATCTCCTAAATGAGATGATCCCGCCCCTAGCAAATTCACCTGTGTTTCCAACCCCTGCTTTGCTACTAATTGATAGAGATAGGCAAAAATGGCGATTTACATTTAACTACAAACCTGTTTCTTGTGAACAAATGTATGTTTTCCAAACAAAACCTAAAGGAAAATCACCTGTAATTCTGAATTCTGTAGGAGCGATGTGATTGTGCATTTTAACAGGACTTACTTTCGTTCATAGACGACGTGTTTGCGGATGCTCCAGACCCGGCCTGG